GAGGCACCACTTCTACAAGGTATCAAGTCATTCATGCCTCCATTTGCTATCCATCCAGTAACCTAAAATTCACACATCCACCAGTCTAAACAGCCATCATCCAGCTGTTCATTTCTCAGTGCAATTCCACCAACTGTCTTAGGTAATCTGGACTGCTGTAACAGGACATACTCAGACTGGGTGGCTTATAAACAACAGAAATGTATTTCTTGCAGTTATGAAGGTTGGAAAGTCCAAGATCAAGGCACTAGCAGATTCGGTGTCTGGGGAGGGCTTGCTTCCTGGCTCACAGAAAACTAGCTATCAACAATCCATGTTCACATTCTGTCCAGCCTCCTGTGCCTATCTAATCTGAGTAATCTAGTCTATCAACAGCCTAAATAGTCATCATCCTAAATAGTCCTTTATTTATGTTACATACGTCTATTCACTATCCTCACAATTCATTTATAATACAAAAGAATATTTAAGCTCTGGTACCCACCACACCCACCTCACCTTTCTATGGAAAATGGACACAAACATTTCTTTCTGTTTAAAGTTTCAGGCTCGTATCATGCATATTAAGTGAAATCAGTTTTACTTCTCTGGGCAGCAACCCTGACTGGAAAAGGGTCTTGGGATTCCTCAACTAAAGGCAACCGTGTTTGTATCTGTAGAGTATGTGATATATATAAATATATAAAGATTATATATAGTAGCTTATGTGTGTATTACATATGGATACAATATATTCTATATAGATCTATCACACACATCCATACATATATAGCTTCAATACCTTGCCATAAAACTCTGCCCAAATGAGGCTGTCTGTACTGGACAGTGACAGACTTAGCCAACCATAAACATTCTCTTCCTTCATTCTCTTCCTTGGAGAGTATGTATGCTCAGTATCATTGAGAAGTCACATCACTTCAAGCTCTAGTTCTGTCCTAACAATGGTAAGCTATGTTCCAGTTTTCAATTAAGCCTGCTGAATATGTCTGCCTTGAAAGAGTGGGATTCGGAGTGAACCTAAAGCTCAGACAGAGACAACTGTACTGCTGGGCGTGACTGTGCAACCCTGCATTTAGTCCTCATTATCCAAGACAAATGTCAAGCTGCCTCTGCTGGAGAGTGGAGCTAGATGGCCACACTATATCTCATATCCTCCTTATTCACAGCTGATTTGAGCAGTGCCACCTCACTGAAGGGAGATTGCACCCATATCCCATCCCTCAGCAAATCCTGATTACCTTCAAAATACAACCTAAACTGGACCACTTATCACTACCCTCACCACTGCCACCCTGGTCCAAGCCACCAACCTCTCTTACCTGGATTTCTACGGTAGCCTCGTAAGTGGTCTTCCTGTTTGCCTCCAGTTCCTGCCTTGTCCCTTTCAGTCTATTCTCATCACGGTAGCCAGAGAGGCCCTTTTTAAAATCTAAGATCATGTCACTTCTCTGTTGAATATTCTCCAGTGCCTCCCCTCCTTTTTGGAGTAAAAGTCTAAGTCCTCACAATGGCTTGTAACACACTTCATGATCTGTCCTCTGCTACCCTTCTGACCTCATCTTCCACCATCCTCCCAGTGTTCACACAACGTCAGCCACACTGGCCTCACTGATGTTCCTCACACAGTGCTACAGAGTTCCCACCTCAGGACCGCTGTACTTGCCATGCCCTCTTCCTATTCTTCCCCCAGATATCTTAACAGCTCACCTCTCACTTTCTTCAGATCTCTGCTGAAATATGACCATATCAGGGACACCCTCTCTGAATGTCCCATGTGCCGCAGAAACCCAACCCCTCCCCAAACTGCTCCCACTTCTTACCCTGCTTTATTTTTTCATAGCACTTATTGTCAGCTCACATATAACTACCTACTGTCTCTCTCTCCTCATTAGAAAGTATGCTTCATAAATGCAGCAACTTTGTTTTGCTTGCTATTTTTCAACACATGAGAGCTTTGTTGAGGTACAAGCAGTCACATAAATAAGCACTTTGTAAAAACGTGTGGAAGGAATGAGTAAGAGTGGCTGACAGTAGACCGTGAGGAAGAAAATCGAGCAGAGGGAGCCTGTTGAGACGGGAATGAGTGCACAGAGAAATGCAGGAAAGAGAGGAACCTTGATGTCCTCGGGAGATGGAGAGAAAAGCCACTATTCATGACTTTCCAGTTCCAATCTTCACGAGGCAGAGGCCTGAATGTCAGTGCTCTCTGCAAGGTTGTCCATTGTATTCTCACAACTGTTCCCCTTATTCTTGAAAACATTGGGTTTTTTCTTCTGTTCCTTGCCACAAAAACAACCTTGACTTGAGCAGTATCCTTCCAACCATCCATCTATCCACCTCTCCATCCCCACATGCCCGTCTAATCATTTATATTTCTAATCATCTGTCTAATCATCTGTAGTCAGATATAGGGATTATAGTCTATTAATCCCTATAAGCATCCATTATCCTAGAATCCACCCACCATCCCTTGATCCATATAACTGACAACTGTCCATCCACATGTTACCCTTTCATAACCTCCAGGAAGAGTGGAGCCAGGTCATGAAGGATCTCATCGCAGGGCTAAGGCCATCCAACTTTAATGCGGTAAAGTGGGGAGCTAAGGAAGGATTTTGAACGGAAAAGTTATATAGTCGGATCTGTATTTTAGAAAAATAACTCTGACAGCTATAAACAAGATAGACAGGTCTTCCTGTCTAAAGGCAGGAAGACCAGTTGGGGTAATATTAAAATATTCCAGATAATAAATTAGGGCAGAAGCACAGGGGCTTCAGAAAAGAAGATTCAAGGGAGAGACAGGGAAACAGCTCTGGGAACAAACTCAAGCCAGAAGGGCAGGCCTAGACAAAAAACTGTCTAACAGGGGCCCTCAGTTTTGCAATCACCAGGCCAGCCCAGGCACTGTATTTGTCCCAGATCTTAAATGGTACCAGGCCTCCTGCACATTCTGCGCATTTGGGGCAGAGTTCCCCAAAAGACCAATCCAGACCCAGTCCTCTCTGGGCTCTTCAGTAGAGCACTCTATCCTACAGCTCAAGTCTCTGAGTAAGTGATATTTCCAGAGTACACAGTCTCCCGCCAACTGGTCTCACAGCTCAGCCCTGGCTACAGAAAGCCAGGGCCTCTTCTCTGTTAATTTTCTTCAACTCTTCAGAGGTTGGGCCTTGGGCCCAGTGAAGTCAGGGTCTGGGAGGCAGCCCTGGCTCACTGCCCGCCCACGCAGGCTATATTTGGAGCAAGACAAGTCCCTCTAGACACAGAGCTTGGGACCCACCCTGCAGAGCTGCCCCAACCAATCTTACTGAGTATCCATGCAGTGTGGTGGTTACTCCCTTTTCACTTGGTAGTTCATTCATTTGTTAACTTATTCATTCCACAAACATTTATTGATCTGCTACTATGATACAGCAGGTACAACAGGATGTGTGGTGGGCACATATCTGTATATGTGTATATATGGATATCTCTAAGCAGGGATGGCAGAACATACTCTGGGTGCCCTCCCTCAGGGTTCAATGATGATGACTCACGCTCAGGTGTATATGGCATCTGCGGGGACCTGTGTGCAAGTGCATGCAGGCACGTGCTCTCTGAGGAGATAGCTATGACTCAGTGGCACGCGGCATCTGTGGCTACCTGTATGGATATGTGTCTGAGTTCAGGAATGAGCATAGGCACTTGCTCCCCAGGGGGTGGGGGAAGTGGTTGTGACTCAGCTGGCTGCACACGGTGACTGGGAGCCTACAAGCCAGCTGTGACTTTATGGCTTTGCTTATTTGCCAAGCCAAACAGTCAGTATTGGGTGCAAATATTCTATAAGAGTGTGTGTGGAGTAAGTCCTAAGCCAGGCAGGGACCTCCAGCAGGCCGGAGAGACTCAGCAGTCTTGGGCTGGAGGCATCTGCCTCCTGTGCCCGCCCCCCCTCCACCGGCCTCCTCCACCGCAGGTATTCGGGTCCGACCCTCCCTCCCTTGCCCTCTCCACTCCTGCCTCCTGGAGTCTCAGCGAGCGCGTCCCTCATAGACTCCACCATCATCCCTCACCCACCGATCTCAGGTGCACACACGAGACTAGGCCCAGAGGTACAGGGCTGTGGCCTTCAAGCGTCCAGACCAATCCCCTTCTGTTCCAGCCCTCAGAACGGCGCCTTCCTCCAACATCCCAGCCCCGGTCCGGTCCGCTCCGTAGCCTCGGCAAGCCCGCTCCAGGGCCCACTTCCCATCTCGGCGGCCGCAGACCCGCGGCCTCCCCATCGGCGCGGCCCCATCTTCACCTCTGAGCTCCTTGCCCCTCTCTCCCTGGCTGTCTCTGCCCTTATCTGTCCCGAGTCTATCTTTGTCTCTCCTCCAGCCGGGCTGTCTGCAGCAGAGGCTTCACCAGAGTGGAGGTGCTGACAGAGTGGGGGTGTGGGGAGGACACTCTGTGTCCCTTCTTGAGCCTTATCGGGAAAACTGAAGTCACTGCTCAGGGCTCAGGCTGGAATTTCGCCCTAGATGACCTTGCTGGGTCTGCTGGGGCCTCCGCAGGGACAGCCAGGGTCAAACGAGTCAGGAAACAGGCCCCTGCTAGTGGGCTGCCCGCCCGCCCTCGTCGCAATCAGGCCGCCCGCAGCGCCCTCCACGGGAGACGCCGGGGAGGGGAGAGGAGGGGGAGGAGAAGGGAGGAGCGGCCCTGTCTTGGGCACTCGCAGGAACCGACGGGAGGCCGTGTGGGGCTGGAATCGTGACCACTGATGCCACGAGGCCACGGGGCCCTCCTCAGGGTCCCGGGCGTAAATCCTCAGGGGCCTGAGGAGGAGAAGCCGGGGCGGCCACCGACCACCTCCCCGCAGGCCGCAGGCAAGCGGCACGCCACACCCGGGGGGAACGCGGGAAGAGGCCCTCGCGTCGGGACACCTGGGCTTCGTCCCAGAGTCGTCACTGCTGTGTCCCCTTGGGCAACTACCAAGCTCCCGAGCCTCACTTTCCACATCTGGAACATAGGAAAATTGCGCCCACCTTTTGGGTCGTTGCAGATAAAATGAGTTCACGTCAGGGCTGGCTCTCAGGAGGCGCTCAGTGCCTGTGGCTTTCCTCCCCGGTGGGTCGACCCCGGGGCAGCGGCAGCGAAGCGGCCACGGCTCACCGGACTATACCCTGGCCCGGCCCCGCGCGCCCGTGTAGGGGCTGAGACCTGCGGGCACGGCGCACGCCTGCCATCTGGCGGCCAAACCACCTAGCAGTCCCTCCCGCCCGCGGCCGCGCGCATGCGCAGGCCTGCACCACCCAGCCGCCCCCGCGCCGCGCCCCGCCTTCCCCGCCCAGGGATCCCCCTCGGCCACGCCACGCCCCTCCCCCAGCCCAGGGAACCCCCTCGGCCACGCAGACCTGCGCCACGAGGTCCTTTCCTCCTCTTCTTCTCCCAGAAAGCGCGTGCATTTCGTCACCCCTGGAGCTGGGGTTATTTCAGGACCTGCAAAGGAGGCTCAGGGTGATGGGATTGGTACTTAATGGAGCGCCCGGGCAGGCTGGTGGCTGAACTGCGTGTTCCTGTTACAAACAAACCTAAATGTAGGCCTGCAAGGCTGTGCACTGAAATCCTAGTTAGTGCAAAAGTAATTGCGGTTTTTCCACTAGGTTGTCTGCAGAGTGAGCTTATGGCGAAGCATTTTATTCTCTTTACTTACCTGCTTTTTCTCAATCTTCCACATTGGGTATGTATTGGTGATAAGAAAAAAAAAACTACAAAAGCTATTTTTTGAAAAAAAAAAATCACATGGGGAGAGAGAGAGAAAGGGGGCTGAATTGGCCTATCGAGGGGATTCCAGAAGTTTTTGCCTTTCTAGTATCTGTTTGCATGTGGACTCCCAGGATTCCCTGGGAGAAACAGAGAAATGAAGCCCAGGGTTTGAGGCATTGAGGTTGATTGCCCTATCTTTCACATACGCTGGGATTAACTTCCTTTAAGAAAAAAAAGGAAGGAAAAAGGGTTCCCAGCCTTAGGGTGGAGTAGGGTAGAGGCTCCAAACAGACCAGAAACTCTTGACAGTTGAGGTGGTCAGTCTGCTGTCTAGCTCAAGCTCTGATTGGGCCCAAGGGGACCAGATGCAGGATATATTTTAGAACAAGGAATTTATTTCAGAAAGGGACCACTCAAAAGCCAGCATTTACTAAGAACCTGCTTGGTACAGGGTGCTGGAACTACCACAAGGCTGCCCCTGCCCTTAAGGAGCTCTGGGCTGGCTTTTGGGAAAGTTCATCTGAGGTGATAGGCAGTGAGTGAGTGAGGCGGATCAGCAGGAGTATCCCAAGTGCAGGAAGCATCAGCTGCTGGTCAAGGCCCTGGGAGGTAGACTGGAGAACAGCTCTGGCCACCACCGCTAATGGCCACCAAGGGAGCCACAGGACACTTAAGGGGAGAGCAGGGGCTGGAGGTCCTTGGGGTCTACTGGGAGGTGGCAGACACAGGCCCTTGGGTCCTCTCCACAGCCTTACTGGGCCTTTCAAAGAACAAGTGTGACTGGGGAAGCATGTTGCTGGGCTGCTGCCCTCACCTGGGACCACATCTGTTCACTCATCCATTTACAGATTTGCCAGCTACCTTTGCCAGATACCTCAGAAGTTACGGACCTGCCTGTGGAAATGCAAGGAGCACCTAAGGTATATCCCAAACTCTCCAGTAGTAGCCTTGAATGGCTGACCTACCACAGTCACCTGCCAGATCTTCTCAGAACAGGCCAGCCCACCAGCAACGCGCCCATTAAGTGGCCTGGCCCAGCCCTGATGGAAAACCCCTCTCCATGTGACTTTCTAAAGAACATGCATGAAGACAAAACACCAGGGCAGGGGAGTGAGTCCCTGCAATGTGGAGAAACCTAAACAGGATATGCTCACCAGTGAGGAACAGGTGACCACCATATGCTTCAGGTGTAACACACTGAGGACACATCAGCCGCCCAAGATGACACAGTAAGGTGAAACCACAGTAGAGCCCAGGTCTGTTTGACTCTGAGTCCAGGCTCCTTTCCACCTTAGTGCCCTAAATTGGAAGGAGGCCTGATTGGGGTGGGGGTGGGGAGGAAGGTTCAAGCGCTGACTGTAGCCCAGGCTGGGATGGCAACAGCTCTAGAAAAAAGCCATTCACAGCTTTAGCCATCTTCCAGCTAACTGCAATGAGGTGTACAAGGCCTTGGGGCTCTGGGATGAAGCCTTCCACCTCTACACCTTGTAAACAAGTATTGCAGACCCACCCTCCAAATGGGAACAGAGACCCACGTTTGGCAGAGTTGGACAGTGATGCTGCTCTCTTATCAGCCTGAACTTTGAGGGGAGTGGAAGACCGATGAGTGTGGACGTGCAGCAGTCCTGGTATCCCCTGAAACCAGACTGTGGGAGGACAGTCTTCCCAGGGAACCTGCTCAGGATGGTCCTGGCCAATGCATCAGGAAGAAAAGGGAACCTAAGAGCAGAGGGAAAATGCAGAAAGTGGGGCATTTTCAGGGAGGCTGCTCCCTGAAACAGCAATGGGCTGCTGGTCCAAGCCAAAAGTGTTGCCAGAGGGAGAGAGGCAGGAAATGAGGACTTCCGATGAGGAGGAGGAGGGGGCAGTGGGCTGTGGGTCTTCGGGACTGAACAGAATGGGGTTTGCTAGACAGAGCTTCCCTCTACCCACTCCTAAAGTCCCGCTGGCCCTCAGCTGGCCCCTGTGAACTGCTGTTAAGGAGGATATAAACACAGGAAGGCCTGCATTCCTGTGGGTGCACAACCCTAAGAGACCATGGACTGCGTCTGTGTGGTGGGAACAGGAAAAGGAGGCTGAGTGTAGCCCTGCTTGGAATTTAGTGTCCACCACAGATATATTCACTACCCAGGGCCAAAGACTCGGCAGCCTCAGAAGTTTCCATGGAAGCTGACCACAGGACTAGAAAGGGTCAGGGCCCTCCTCTGCATGTAGGGATGACACATGGCAACTAGCTGGGTAATGGGGCACAAAAAAATTAAATGTTTGACATAAAAAATGTAATGAGGACCTGAGAGGAGGTGGGTGGTGTAATGAGCATCCTAGAAGTCCAGTTCAGATTTCGTATGTCCCCTTATAGTTCCTTCTCTGCAAATTGAAAGGTGAGGCCGGGGGAGGTGGCTCATGCCTATAATCCCAGCACTTTGGAAGGCTGAGGTAGGCGGATCACTTGAGGTCAGGAGTTCGAGACCAGCCTGGCCAACCTGGTGAAACTCCATGCCTACTAAAAATATAAAAATTAGCTGGGTGTGGTGGTACACACCTGTAGTCCCAGCTATTTGGAAGGCTGAGGCAGGAAAATCACTTGAACCTGGGAGGTGGAGGCTGCAGTGAGCTGAGATCATGCCACTACACTCTAGCCTGGGCATCAGAGTGAGACTCCATCTAAAAAAAAAAAAAAAAAAAAAAAAAATTGCAAGGTGAGCCAGTTCAGGCATTCTAGAGGCACTACATTTATAGACAGTAAACTGCACAAATCCTGGATATAAAGTTGATTGCCTTTTACTTACGTAACCACCATCCATTGACAGCATCCCAGAAAGTTCACTTGTGTCCCTTCCCAGTCTACAGCCACCTGCCTGATACCCTCATTTCTAAATCCACCGACTAGCAGTGTCTTGGAAATTAATATGAATGGGTGTATGTGCTCTTTCATGTTTGGCTTTTTTGCTCAACATGATGTCCATGAGATTCAGCGGTGTTGTTGCATCTCTCTGTAATATGTTAAGTGTAGTATTCTTTGTCTGAATATACAATTCATTTGTCTATTCTCTATTGGTGGATATTTGGGTGTCTCAGGTTTGGGGTATTATAAACAAAACTGTTGTGAATCTTCTTATACAAGTCTTTTGGTGGACATCAGCCTCATTTCTCTGGAATGAGTGGAAACTGCTGGGCCAGAGGGTAGATGTTTTATTTAGCTTTAGTGGATATTGCCAATTAGGAAGTTGGGAGGTGATTATTACAGTATCTAATATATAAAGAAAGGAGTAGATGGGGAAAGAAAGGAAAGAAAGATTCCATAAACTACTCCCAAGTCTGATTCCTGAACAAATCTGGAGCACCTCCTCTGCACTGTAAAAGCTGTGGCGTGCCTCATATGGCTTGACTTTATTCACCTGAGCCTCACCCCATGAGGGCCATGCTCTGTGCCTTGCTAGAACTACCCAGGAGGTTGCAATTAAGGCTTGGCCAGTTAAAACAAGCACAAGTGCTGTGCAGGACACATCACCACCTGAGCGGCAAATCTGAAAAACACATTCCTCACAAGCTGCTAAATGGTGCTGACAGATCCACCCTGTGTTTGAGCACCTGCAAAGAAATCAGGGTTAAGGCAGCTTTTACACTTCATGCCTCGACAACATCACAGTCTTTTTTTTTTTTTGAGAAGGAGTTTCACTTTTGTTACCCAGGCTGGAGTGCAATGGCGCGATCTCGGCTCATGGCAACCTCCGCCTCTTGGGCTCAAGCAATTCTCCTGCCTCAGCCTCCCTAGTAGCTGGGACTACAGGCACACGCTATCATGCCCAGCTAATTTTTCGTATGTTTAGTAGAGACAGGGTTTCACCATGTTCACCAGGATGGTCTCGATCTCTTGACCTCATGATCCACCCGCCTCGGCCTCCCAAAGTGCTGGGATTATAGGCGTGAGCCACCGCGCCCGGCCCCAGTCTTTAAAATATATCCAAAGCAACTTCCTCCAGAGGCTCTGGGTGTGTCAGCGGTCCCTGTCCTCTGCTCTCTGCCAGCTCACAGAGAAACAGGGATTCTCCCTTCCAGGTGCTCCTCATTTACACCAAAGAGATCAGTCAACTCCTGGGACATCTGAATGGGAAACTTGAACCCCAAGGGTCGTACTGTGTTCTGGATAATAGAATTTCTCTTTCTGCAGAGCAGGTTTTCTCAACCTTGCCACTACTGACATTTTAGTCCAGATAATTCTGTTACTGGGTGCTGTCCTGGGCATTGTAGGATGTTTTGCAGCATCCCTAGCCTCTACCCACTTGATGCCAGCAACACTCCCTCCAGTCGTGACAACGAAAAATGTTTCCAAACATTGTCAAATGTCCCCTGGAGGGCAAAATCACCAGCAGTTGAGAACCACTGCAACAGAGAAAGAACAGTTCTTAAACACACCAACCAGTGTCCTCTCCTTCCCTCCAAGAGGAAAAGATCAGTTTTCCAATACACAATCAAGCTGGACTGAGTGGCCTCAGTCCACAATAGGCATTTTATCT